GATATTGAACTTCCCGAAGAAGAGCCGGAACTAGGAGGTAAGGTACCACCTCACTCTCCGAGAGCCAAAGGTAGACCACACTCGTCAGACTCTGCAAAAGAGGAATACGCGAAAGCGGTCGAGGCAACCAAGAAGGCCTTTGGGAACGCCAGTTTCGTCACCAGATTCAAAGAGCCCGTCGACCTCTTTGACATTGCCGATGACAAAGAAGGAGGAGAGTACAGGGTCGCAAATCACAGGGTTGATAGATCAGGTCCTAATGGAAAGTGGGAACTTGATGCACTTATTCAGGAGGCTGCAGCACTCGGAATAAAGATGCCCAAAGTGAAGGACCTTGCTCCTGACCCACAACAAGTTCAAAAGGTTGGATATCGGCAGATTGAGGTGGCTTGCGATAGAGGAAGCATCGAGATAATTCCACAGTATGGAGTTACATTCTATGTGGAGTACTGGAACGGACCGAAGAGAGATGCAACTTTCACGGATCCACCAAAGATGAACCCAGCAACTCGCATCGACAAGTTCAGCGAGGAGAGTCAGCGGGTCAACGAGGTTAGCCATAGACTCAATAGACTACTCAGGCATGGAGTGGGAAAGCATAATGGGATTCAATCGCACCGCGGTCGAAAACCTCATGTGTCCCCGAAGTGCAATGAGGGTGGATGGGTGAACATCGATGAGATCCTGGAATATGACCATGTCTTCAACGATGGTGTCGATATCAGTACTATCTCAGATGATCAACGTGAGCAAGATGTCAAGACAGAGCGATACCAGGATTTATGCAAGGCGATGTGGCATGCAAAGAAGTTGCAGAACAGAGTACGCTATCAGATTGCCGCCATTCGTATCTCAAGGGAGGATGTCTCACTCGAAGAGGAAAGGCAATACTGGGCAAACCTCATGTATTACAGCACAGATGCACCGTCATTTCTGAAGCATGAACGTTGGATCGCTCCTTGTGCAATTCGAGCTGTTGCCTCTCACAATTCTGGAAGAGAGACTGTTCTTGAAGAGGATGTGTCAATATATCCTGTGTGGACTTCACATCTCATTCCAGAGAATGTGGCAATGCAGCTTGGAGGAAGCTTTCACATGACATCGCTTTCCAATATTGAGTCAATCATGAAACTAGGAATTGTCCCTGGTGGAACGGAGGGATATAGAGGTAGTGTTTTCTTCAACCACTTTGCGCCGTGGGATGATCGATCATCAAAGATTCTGAGATCAAGATGGCCAAGAGTGGGAATGCCCGTTTGCCTTTATGTTCCAATCATGACTTTGAGGAAGCTTGGGGGAAGAATTTCGGAGAATTCCTACACTGTTGTTTTTAGAGAAGTTCCATGGAGATGTGTACGAGGTGCTTGGTATTGGGACGACTACGTTCAGGCATGGAGGAGACTCCTGCTGGGAAGCACTGGAGAGCAAGTTGTTCTAGCGGCACGTCATGGACTTTGGGTTGCTCAGAAGCATACCATCCTCGAGAGAGCCGACGAAGTCACGAAGTCAGCCTCGGCGACAGATGACAACGTCCAAAAGCTCGTGTCCCTTATCGATGAAGTACAATTCGATGACAATGGAGAGCTGATCGAGGATTCCATCAGTGAGGAAACTTGGGACGAAATCATCTCCAGAACATGTGAAGGGTATCGCAACGTGGATGGCAATATTTTGTGTCCATCATGTATGCATTTGACTTCTTCATCTTTGTCCGTGTGTCTATCTTGTCAAGGCAGGCTACTCTCGTGTGGTATTCGCAACACTGTCATTTCCGATTCACCCGTTGATCTTGTGAGCGACGATGAAGAGGAAAAGAAGGAAGAGAAGGAGCCTGAAGATGATGATCAAGATATCTTGGACCAGGCCACTATGGACGAGATCAGAAAGGCTTGGGAAGAAGACATCGCTCAAACTGAAGCAGCTGACGACGACGAGGACATGGACAATCTAGATCCTTCCAAACCGTCTGATGGTGCAGAAAACTTCAAGAGTGACAATGTCGAGACCCCATCTGTCAATGAGGACGAGATCGACTACGGTCGTGATTCTGATCTAGAAGATGAAGACGAACGAAACGTGATCATCGAGATCCAGAGGAGCACACAACAATATGAGGGGAAGAAACGTCAAGATGGTGAACCCGAGGATGAAGACGTCACCGACGACTTACATCCGGAGGCGAATCGACCGACAGATCGTGATGAACCGGGATACTATGCACAGCATGGAGCGACCGAGTTCAATCCCGAAGAAGGAAGAGACAACGAAGATCTCCCCATCTATTGTCGAGTACCGGAACCTCGAATCTATGCGCATCAAGAGAGAGCCTACTGTCAGGACGTCTCCATGAATGCATCGGGTTTGATGGATAGGTATGTGGTCAAATGTGTGCTGAACATGATCTCCCTGATGTACAAGAGCTACTATTGCACCAGCCTTACCGACTTCAAAGCAAATTGGAAAAGGAAGCGACTGGATGTGATAAGCAAGTTCGGTACAGGGGATTCCACTGAAATCGATGACGATGGGAGACCATTGGATCCAACAGATGACATGATGTTAATCTTTGCCAACGACAACAATATTACGACTGAGGAGGCCTGGCACCGATTCAGAGGAGAACAATTCATTTGCAAGGTGGCACTCGTGATCCTATCATTTGGTCATACTCCGCAATCCTTCAAGAAGGAATATGGCAACTTCGAACACTCCACCGACTTGACTGATGCCCAGCTTGAGGAGTTGAAAGCGAAGAAAGCCAGCGCAATGACTGAATTGGTACAGAAGTGCATCCATGCGATTTATGGGTGTCGGACATATTCTTACTTTAGAACTGACGTTACATCACCCTACCACAAGGTGATCGATCCTCTGGACATCATGTACTCGAGAATGAAGAGCAAGTGGGAGAAGTCTATTCTGTTGATCATTGATCAACATGAGATCAGGTTGCCCCCACAAGCTCAGGAAGTCATAGAGTCAATGGCCAGAAACCCCAACGTTGGACATACAGAGAGATGGATGAGCGTGGTAGAACATAAGCATGTTCAAGCTCTTACCAATCGTCTAGGCTTTGGAGATAGGGCCAAGGAGATTCAGGGCAAGAAGAAGCAGGCAGCCAAGGCAACAGCTAAGTCAACATCAACGACTAAGTCTGAAGCGAAAGCAGCATCTTCGTCAAGAGCTGAGGCAAAGCCAGCATCTACACCCAGAACCGAGGCCAAGCCGTCGTCAGCACCAAGTGAGGAGCCAAAACCTTCAACAGCACCTAAGAGTTTCGGGCCCTCATCAGCAGAGGAGAACAAGGCGAAGGCTGCTCCAAAAGCCAGACCACATGATAAATCACCATCCAGTGCTACCGATGTGTTTGAGCAAGCTTTGCAGGAAGATCTTGCCGCCAACGCACATGCAGCAGAAGGTACAACTTCTTCATCATCCCGAGGACATTCCAAAGGAGGAGGCCAATCTGGAACATCTTGGAGGCCGGCGCTAACGCAAGAACGTCGCGAAGTACCTCAACCTTCTGAAAAGGGGAAGGGAAAGAGCAAGTCCAAGGGAAAGTCCAAGAAGGGAGAAGATGATCGGTGGGATGCTCAGGGCAGCTGGGATCATCGTGGATGGAGAGGTTATCGCCAGTGGTGATTTCTTTGAACGACTATGAGGATACCATGCAAACCAGGGAGGAAGTCATTCACCGGATGTCTATCTGACCTGAAACGCTGTAAGTGTATCATTGCAAATCATCGGATTGACGATTTGATACCATGAGCATAATGGAAGGCAGACAGTCACCGACTGTCTCTCCGACTTGCCGTTCTGTAAGTGTATCCAAATCAAAACCTACATCTTTTGAGAAGTGTGAAGTCAGTTGCCGATGTGACATCTACGTGGAAGTCACCAGTTCGGATCTACATCAAAGCGATGCTCTTTTGAGTGGATACTGAGCGAGGCCTCGTGACTGTCTCACTTGTTCAATTCGATTTTCATAGGTTCTGAGCCATAGTTGCACACTTTATATGTAAAAGTCCGCTTTAGTCCAGCATGTTTCGTAGTATGAGCCTCATATGAGTCTCGCGGCAAATCATACAATTTCTTTTGTAGCACTTACATCCCTAAATTTTCGTGTGTGATCGGAACATATTGTTGCCGTTCACATGGGGGGTGCGAATGGAAGTGCAGCGACACGTACAGTGCAACTTGTACATATATATGTACCATATGTACTTTGGCTCAAGGATCAAGCGACTAGAAAAGGTGCGGTTTCCGTTCCGACGCTACGCCGCTTATGGACCGTCAGTGATAGCTTCAAACTTCGCTGATTAAGATCCACTCGCAATATATATATATATATACAATTGTTCTTTTTGACGCCCTGCGTGGTGTGTATGATTCCTCCATCTGCAAGAACACATGGACAACGGCACCAACTCAATTTCATTCACAAGCTCCTTTGGGCAAAGCACAGGCTGAGCTCCACATTTGGTTATATCGAAAAATGATACGCTTTTGGTACTGTAACTTCTCCAAGTATATCAAACATTATTGCAATAAGCACTTATCCTTTGTGCCTGGCAATTATTTGAACCCTCCTTGATTGTTTCTGGGCAGTCTAAACAATTGTTTACTTCAAGGCTTTGCCACTGTCCAACCAGCAGATTATCAGAAAGGCACGCTGTGGAGGCCTGCGTGTCTAGGTTTTCTAAAGCTCACATTTTTTGTCCTTCACAACTTCCCACTCTGGTAGGTCCACATACCTCAAATTATGTATATACATGTACACAGCACACGTGTTATCCCGAACACCTCCTCTGGGGAAAACAAGTTGGGGATGGTTCCTCTCGCGGCGGGTTGATAGTTGTTTAGATTACCCGGAAAAAGCACGCATAAACAATACCCACCGATGCTTTTGTTCAAATTCTGGATTCTACGAATTTCGGTGTTTTGGTCGTAACCAGTGAGACATTGCCTGGAACTTGGCGACGGGGTTTTGCCTTGCAGGCATGATGCTGTGGGGGCCACTGTCAGCCTTGCTTTGTGCGACCGCATCACTGGCCATGCGACCGCAGAGCCCGCCGAGCGTCACTTGGTCAGTACTGGGGGGTGGTGAAGTTTGGAAGAGAGATGTGGTCCAGAACCGGATTGCAAGCCCTAAAGAGCTTTGGCGGCTATCCAACACATACCCTCACCCAACACATCCAAACGGTTCCTGTACCGCGAAACCATGTTTGTCTGTCCTAGCACATCACCAGAGGCAAACGGAAGGGTAGTGCACAGAAAGGGTTTCGCAAAAACCTATTCTACTAACATCGTGGAAGGCGCGGGACATTCTTGAAGGCTATTCGTGGACAGTTCGTGGAATGGTGGGCCAGTAGGAGAACTGACTGCAACGAAATCCCAGAAACCTTCGCAGAACTTACGTGGAAAGTGTTTTTGATGCACTATCTTCGTATGACCAATTCTTGCTGACCCCCTTTCTCCGCACACCCTCGATTTAGCCTTCACATCACATCCCCTGTAAGAGGTTTCTCTCCTCTTCACATGACAGATGCTAGGCCCCAGGCCTTCCCAGTCCTTTTGGCGCAACGCTGAAGAGCCTCCACCGCACCCATCCGTCCTTGCGAGCGCAGGTCCCTCCCTCGGATCCGTTGGAAGGGATCGATCCCAGCATGGCGGAGAATCCCGCGGCGCCCAAGCTCCAGCCCTTCGAGATCGATTTGCCAACTGGTCAAAGCTCGGACATGGTCGGACGCGCCAGCACGAAACACCGTACGAAACACCGGAGGCACCAGCGAACGCCTGGAGCAAGGGGGTGGCAAGTGAGATGGCTCCGTTGTTTGAACAGGGTTAAACCCAGTATGACTGAGGTACACTCACTGGCACAAGTGGAGCAAGATTTTTGGGTAGGCCATGGTGAACCCTCCTACAGTTCCCAACAGCAGAATTATCCTTTCCCATACGCCGCCCCAAAAATGGAGCAAGTTACGGCTTTGTTTCGGAGAGCGACGCTGTGGGCAAGAAGTTGTGGTGCATGTGTGCGGGTGTGTCGGGCTCATTTGGTGCTTTGAGCTCTTGTGATGCGTGGTCAAATGCGTTGCGAGTCTCCGAACAATGCCAGCAGCTAAGGACACTGAAGAACGAGGAGGTGGCAATTGCTGGGGCTCGAAATGGACCCAGTTTCGTCAAGAATGCTTTTTCTCTACCTATATAGATCCAATTATGTTTATTATATCGATGATATCAACTATATATCCCCATGACTTAATTAATGTATTGAGGGGCTGGTGTAGAGGCTGTGCCCAATACATTTTTCCAGCCATTCCCGCCAGCCATTCTTGCTCGGCCGTTGCATGTCCTGCGGGGGCGCTACTGTCAGGCTGCCCAGTGGAGGGTCCAAAGATTATTCAAAGATAAACAAAGCCCTTTCTTGATGTGCCCACGCTTCGACCGCGAAGTGCTGTAAGTAACACCACGCTGCTGAAACCTAGAGCAACGTGGAAAAACCGAGTCTTGGAGAATCTTGGAGATATGTTATGGAACCAACCCACTGTTGATTGCAAAATCCAAGAACCATTTGGCACCCCTCAAAACCTGGCCAGTTCCCCCAATTCAGGTGAGGCATGGCGAGGCCGATCGGGTCCGGAACTGCTGCAAGGGTCAGGTATTGTTTGCAATGATGTGAGGATCCTGCACCTCCAACAAGTGAATCATTAATTACATCGCCTTCCATCATGGAACCGAAATAGACCAACTTCAACCTGAGGATATGTTTATAAGATGTTATAAGTGTACATTATGTTAAAAGAACACATATTTGTATATGACGTGTGGTACTACAGACCTGGGATATCTTGGATTATCCTGGGATCTTTGGGAGTTGGAGCATTGTGAAGGTCAGCCAGGCCGCAACCCCCCTCCGACTGTGGAGGCCTCGGACAAAATGGCCGGTTCGTTTGTTTGCTTCAGATAAAGCCCAAATAAGCCCAAGGCATCGGTGGAGAAGCATGCGCCGAATCCAAAAAGGCCAAAGACTAGACACATCTAGACGCCAAACTCACTAGACTTGGACTTGAAAAATTGGTGTTTTACATGGTTTTACCATCCCTACCCCATTTGCCTGGTTTGTGCTACCGTGGTCGTGATGGCGTCAATTAAATGTGCGCATCGGAGACAGGGCGCCAGCGCCTGCTTTCCAACTGCACGAGCCCTGGGCGTGGCGGCCTCGGAGCGGCTGTTCGCGCTGTGTCTCAGCGCTCGAAGCTGCAGGGTGCCCCTCCGAGCTCGAGCTCAAGCCGAGTATAGGCCAAGCTAGTGAGAGGATGCCAGAGGGAGAGAGCTCATCAACAGCCATGAGAATTTTCAGAACTTTATAGATACTGTAACACTGGAATTGTAGACGAGTAGAGAAGGTAGAGTGGCAGATCAGATGTCGTGACGGTCATAACACACTCAGTTGAATCCCTTTCGAAGGCCTCATGGGCCCTCGACTGGAGCTCGACGAGCTTGGGGTCACCGACCTGCCACGCAACGCTTCTCAGGATGGGCCCGGAGGCCTGACCCGAGAAGAGGATGGTTTTGGAATGTTTTGGATGGCTTTTCAGCTTTTGTATACGTTTTTCTTCAACGGCTATATACAGCTATGGCATGCTATGGCTATGGTTTATCATGGTTTATCCAACCAACGATCCTCACGTGTTTGCCTGGGTCAGTCTCCGACGAAGAGCTCCGAGGTCGGAAGTCTGAATTTGTCCGCTCTCCGCTCTGCAGAGGCTGGGCGGCTAGCGCGAACTTGTGCCAAGCACTCTAGTCTTGCAGCTGAAGTAGCAGGTGCAAGGCTATTTCGCCTATGAGGAAGATTCGCTTTCAGAAGCAGAGTCCCAGGAACCCGTGGGTTGGCTGAGAGTTGCAATTCTTGCTGGGCAGAGTGAGATGCTCAACCTCCAAGCAAAGCCAAAGCAGAGTAAGCAGACTGGCACTTCTTGTTTTCAACTCTGTGTGCTTCACAGCCGCCGCAGGATTCGCAGGAATCCTTGTCCGGCGACGCAAACCCCTGAGCCCCGTGATGTGTTGTTTTTGAGCTTCGCACGGTGCTTTGCACGCTCACGGAGTTCGCCAGAAGGTCCAAAGCCGCTGGGACCCAACGAAAGTTGAGAGGCGAGACCATGACCCTTTGCCAGTCGACTATCCCCTTTGGGTTCATACATGTTCATACCCACTTTGGGCTTTTTGCCATGAGCCATGTTGTCTTATTGTATGTACACAGAGGGTAGAGACAGGGAGAGAGAGAGAGAGAGGGAGAGGGAGAGGGAGAGCGAGAGCGAGAGAGAGAGAGAGAGAGGCGCGGAATCTTTGCGCAGGCGATATGCCTATGGCAGAGATGCTGCTGTGAAGTTCTCAGGAGTGAGGTGAGATGCGCTATTCACTTGAGCGAAGCAAATCAGATGGTGCAAATTCCGGGTACGGAGATCCCTTTGGTAGCCTCGCAAACCTTGGATCTTTCAGATTTCCACTTTGGCTGCGTTTGGTTCACTTGAAAGAGAAGGAAGAGAAAGATAAGAAGAAAGACAAGGACCAAACATGGAAAGCTTCATCAGCTTTTTGCTGATTTGTTGGAGATAATTAATCACTGTCTTAGAAAAAGAGCCTGCGGTGGCATCATGTAGAACTGTGCATGTTCTTGCTTGCTCTCGTGCCAGGACCGTGACAAGGACAAGGACAGCCGGACAGCCAAGTCGGATGAAGTCAGATGAGTTAGCAGTAAAAACTGGAGGCAGCTGAGTCAGCTGAGACGTGGGTAGCTGCTAGCGAATCCCGGCGTCCCAGGTAATCATAGACTACCCAGGAGGCAGGAGGCACAGTAAATGACAGGTGCCCATGATGTTTGGAGTGATGAACTATGAAGTGGCATGAAGTATGGTTCATCAACTCCAAAACATCATGGACGCCTGTCATTTTAATGGCTTGTGATGGTCCGTGACCATCATTGTCCATTGATGGCCTGCTGGAGCCGAAAACGCTTCGCCAGGAGCGCAAGCGCGAACGCTCCCGAAGCCGAGACCGAAGGATGTCATCTGGAAATGGAGTAAATAAGACGCCCGCTGAGTAAGTGGGACGTGCTGCACAAGCACTGTCTTATTTACTCCATGTCCAGATGACATGAAACGCACGCACACACTAAGGCACAGGCGGGGAAAAAACTAAGTAAGACACGGTGCCCGCTGCATAAGTGGGATGCGCTGTACAAGCTCCGCCTTTTTTTGGGGGGGGGATGGGTGAACGCGATCGTGCATGAGCTCTCATGACGTATCGTAGACTTGTTCGGGTGGAGGAGTCTTTTTCCCTACTTGTCAGGTGAGGGTTGTTAGACTCCTTCTCCTCCGCTTCGTCCTCCTCCTCTTGCGCGTCGTGTTCAACCGCCAGCCAAAACGCACAACACGCAGCCACAAAAACAAAAGAGCGTACAGAACCAACGAAGCACAGCCACAATACAGAAGCACAAACAACGAACCACGAACTCAATCACAAACGCAACTACAGGCTAAGGCGTCATTGGGCGGCACCTGACCTAAAAGGTTACGCTTGTCCGGGCTGCAGTAAATTTGGTAAATTGGTAAATTGGTAAATTCTTGCTCGTTTGTCTTGCTTGCTTCGGTTGGTTTTGGTAAATCGGTAAATTGGTAAATTCCAGCTTGGTTTCCCACCCATGGGCATCGGTAAATTCGGTACATTCGGTAAATTTGGAAACCTGAATGCAATTTACGAATTTACCGATTTACGATTTACCAGGTGTCTAGCTGAGAAGTGAGACTCTTGTTTTTTTGGTTCTAGCAAATTGCGCACTGCCCGGATCACGGCGCATCCACTTTGCGAGAGAAGCCCGGAGCCCGAGGTGGTCATGTCATGTGTGCTGGAAGTAAAGGTTCAGGAAGCCTTCGGTAGTGGTAGTAGTAGTAGTAGTAGTGGTAGTAGTAGTAGTAGTGGTAGTGGTGGTAGTGGTGGTAGTGGTGGTAGTAGTGGTAGTAGTTAGTAGTTAGTAGTTAGTAGTTTGTAGTTAGTAGTTAGTACTTAGTAGTTAGTAGTTAGTAGTTAGTAGTTAGCCCGGGAGCCCGAGGTGTCAGGTCATGCGTGCTGGACTATTGGTTACCGGTTGATATCACAAACAGGAAAGAAGTCAAAAAGAATTTGTTCGTTGCGGAGTAGCTCATCCAAGGCAGTAGTTTAGAAAGACATTTTCCAGTTGCGAACACGTATATAGATAGGCTCAACTTTAAAGTAGCTCAACTTTAGAGTTGCTTGATCCGAATAGCTTTTGATAGCTTTTGGTTGTTCGCCCTGTGTTGGAATAGTTGTATGGCACCTTAACTTTGGATTAAGACCGTGGTGGTGTGCGTAAGAGAAGATCTACTGGTTGATCGTGTGACAGAGTCCTGATTGGGATTGAGTTCCAAGTAAGTCGCTCTAAAAGATTCAGCACTCGCCTTCTGCCATCCTTCCAGAAGCAGCCACAAGCAATGAAAAGCAAAGAAGCAGCCACAACGGGCAGAAGGCTGAAGATTTTCAGAGTTCTGGAGCGAACATTGCTCTACGTGAAGCGCCGCTGCTCAAGACCTCAAGCAAAGCCTTGAGGCAAAAGCAAACCAGCAATCAACAAGCCCTCCCTTTTCCCGAACCATCCCAAACCTGCAAGCATTCGTAGGCCTGAAGAGAGATCGCATGCGCACAACTCGAACCACTCAATTGTTGACCCCATACCTTGAGCCCCCTCTAAACCGTCAACTCTAGGATCCATTTTTGAGCCCGAAGAAGTAGAAGGCAAAACAAACAGTTTAGGTTCGTTCTGTGTCCAGAGACCGTTGTGCTGATGGGGAAAAAAGGACTTCTCAGATACGAGCCACGCGATGTGCCAGAAGAAATCTTACCCATCATTCAACCCAGCCTACACCTGACCGACAGCTCTTGTCCTGGCGTGGGTTATCGAGTTGCCGAGACTGAAGGGACTGAAAGGCGGGTTCACGCGACCTATGCTCCTGGAAGTCTCGGAAGGGCAGGTGTGTTTGCGCACGAAGGGGAGCCAAAGTGGCTGGCGAAGCGCAAACACGATGACAAGCTTGATCGTCACCACCAAGACTGACAATGAGGTGGAATTTGCTGCCGGCAGCCGCCAGCTAAGCATTGTTGTTGCCAATTTCGGTAATTTGGATCGGATGGGCACAAATATTAAGGGAGTCCAGACTGAAACCTTATTGCAAGGCTACTTGACGGGGTCGTTTCATTTGGTCATTCTGCAGGAAGCTTCCTCATGCGATCTTCGGGGGAATTTCAATACTTGGAATTTTGCATACCTGACAGGGCAAGGGGACAAACCTGACAACATTCGAAACGGTCTTCTAGTGGCCGCTGGTGGATCGGGCATCAAAGTTTGGACGCGGCTGTTGGACAAGGAATACACCAATCCGTTTGCCACTACGGCTGCAAGCAAAGCCCTTACCTTATCGGCCTTGCGTGCCAGGATTGCATGGCAAGATCCACAGACGGGCAATGCTGTCCAACGTGCTGGTCCTGATAGCTGGGTAGCAATCTCCTTTCACTTGAACAATGTTGTGGCCAAGAAGAAAGAGGTCGTCAAGCAGATGGCACAGAAATTTTGGGAGGATGTCTTTAAGTATGATGAGATTGTTATCATCGGGGGAGATGTGAACGGCGGCATTGCGGAATTTGAGGGTGTGGGTTTGGAAAAGGCGCAGGAAAAAGGCTGTGACATGTATCGAGCTCAATCTGCGAAGGACGATTGCTTGTGGATCTTCGTTGTTTTTCCTCCAGATCAACAGAAGCACTTTCACGTCAAGACCAGCACGGAGCAGAAACTGAAAGCAGCCGACCTACAGCTGCGCAGAAGCGACGCGGACGCACATCATCCACTGTTGACACACATCAGCAACTTGCAGGAACCACGCCGTAAAAGTCGGCGGATGCCTAAGACGGTAGTTGCTGTTAAAGCGGACAATGAACGTGGTTCGAGCTCTTCAGCTGGACCTTTGCCTGTTGGACTCGTAAAACGATCCACGGCATAGGCAAAATACACTGCAGCGGATCAGGGTGTAAGGTGCTGTAGGAGGGGGAGGCTGCGACGGGGCTAATCAAATTTGCAATTAACCAACAGGCAAACGCAAACACTGTGTCCAGAGACCGGTGATTGTGTTAAACCTTGCTAAAACCCTAAACCTGATACAGCGGGCGGGGGAGGGTGCGGCAGGGCTCACCAAATCAAAAAGGACAACACAAACACTGTGTCCAGAGACCGGTGATTGTGTTAAACCTTGCAACTAACCAAGAGGCAAACGCAAACACTGCGTCCAGAGACCGGTGATTGTGTTAAACCTTCCTAAAACCCTAACCTGGATACAGCGGGCGGGGCAGGGTGCAGCAGGGCTAACCAAAGTTCATAGGATCCAGTGCCATGGACTTGGTGAAGGTCTTTGTGTTCGTTCCGTTTGAAGTAGGTGCATCACAGTTTCTCCAGTTTCTATGGATTTCGAGATATGAAGAGACAGTGCCTGAGTAGTGGTTAAGAGACATTGCCTGGGCGTGGTTCAGACACACAAATGTCGTGGTCACAAAGTGCTTCAACACCGGGGTTAAGTCCACCCGTGGGTTTACGAGTGCCAGTTGCCGCGTTGGCAGTTTGTACCGTTCCGCGCCCATCATTGTACCAAGGCCTTGGATGCTCGCGGGGCTTTTGTTATCCACCATATCGCTTGGATTGAGGTGAAAAGTGACCGCTCACAAGGTGTCCGGAATGCTGGAGAATTCTCCCCTACCACTTGTAAATGTATTACAGGGGTGCCTCCTGTGAAGTCCTCTGTGGCCATGGGGATAACTATATGTAATATTATACTTTAAAACTTTGTTTATCATCTCAATTCAAAACGATACTCTTAGACTCTATACATGTCAAGTGTGTGTGTGTGATGATAAGGTTTCTTAGTTTAGATTCCAGGAGAGAGGGAATGGGGATGCCAAGATTGAAAAGCCTTTGCAATTGAGAGGAGTGTGTGTGTTTTCGACGACTGTGGAAGATGAACTCTTGACGGTGGGCTTAGGAGAATTGAATTCCCCAGACTGCTCCAGATGGCTGTTCCCTTCTTTGTATATTCTTCTTTGACCAAAATGGCTGGCTTGCTTTTGGGCGTCACTAAATGGGGGGCACCCTGAGATCGATTGAGTTGCAGGAGAAAAGGTGCTTTCTCATGATTTTAGTCCCAGATCTGAGGGAAAAAGGAACTCTGGTGGGCCACTGGTGGGTGCAGAGAAAACTTCCACCCTCCTTAAACCTCTCAGAACGGTGAAGGAGCCTGAATAACCTCAACTAAGACGAGTCGACTTGGAGTCGCCCGAAGAACGCCGCCTGAAGGGGCGATCCATTTCTGAACGGACTGTGGAGGGTCCGTGCTGAGCGCCCCCCACTGGTCAGGCGGCGCTGGAGAAGTCCAAAGGAACCCTGCTTGGGGCCCCAGAGGGCCGGGCCTCACCGTGTGACATACGGCACATGTACCACCCAGAGGAGGAGGGTGATTGAATGACCTGGGACTTGGTGGGTCTCTCGACCAACCTTTGGGTGGTGCTGAGCCTGGGCTAGATCCCAAGACAGTCTTTCTTTTAAGGATCTCAAGAATTGCCGTGATGGTTGGAGTTGGGGTTGCAACTGAGCAAGCCGTTGATTGAACGACTAGGTGCAATTTCTTGGCAAAGAATGAGCACCGTCTACCCCAAGTCTTCTAGGAATTTCCCTCCTCTCGCGCCCTTGCAGTTGCATATCTCAGAAGGCATCAGGCCCCCCAAAATACTTCATTTTCCACCACTTCCAGTGACCTGGACCATGGTATACATATTAGGGGGTCACTGCAAGGGCATGATCATCGGGCGATGTTCCTCATCTCCTCGGAGTGGCTCCGAACGACTGAGGGAGGGTAAGCTGCTCTATGATGCGCTTCCACAAGAAGTTAGCTTGGATGACGCCGCCTCCGGCATCACCGCCGACCTGCAGCAGAGACTGCAGAAGGCCCCGTACGAGCAGGTTTCACAGGTGTTGCGCAACCCTCTCAAGGTGGTTCCAAAATCCTAGGGTTCTTAGACCAGACATTTGAAGATGTCCATGGCCACGAAGTGATCCATCCGTGCAGATCCCAGACTTCACCATCAGTTCCTGGTGTCCTCTTCCGACCCATTGGTGTCGAAAGACTGAGACCTCATTGGTGTCTGACTCCCGTTCGCTGCTCAGGAGTCCGGACTCACATGTTCCATCCAAAAGGAAGGAACCCACGGTGCCTCGGTTTGCCGCGCAGGTCATCGGGCCTGGTTTTTTCGGGGTGGGGAGATCACTGGGACTGGGTCGAGGAAAGTGGAGGGCAGGAGCGAAACGAACTGCCCACCATCCCCCACCTGTCTACACTCCTGTCTACATCCCAAGAATGATATGTATATATATATATATACACAATATGGGGCCCCATGAATTCCGGATAAATCCTTTCGGCCGAATAGATGAAGTTCCATGCAAAAAACCGCTCTCCCACCTAGTTGTTTCAGGAAGAATTAGTGACAGGCGGGTCGAACACATATCATCCATGATGCATGATCACACAGCACACCACAATCTCGTCACACCGAGCTCCCAACAGAATGTCCAAGCTTGTGGCAATGTCTAACATGGTGTCACATCGACGGGTGAGGGGCAAGCTTCCTGCTTTGCAGTTTTTTCAGAGTGGATGGCGCAATTCTCTAAACGCCTTATGTGTACATATATGTACACACATATATATATATATATATATCTAAACCAGCTCTTGGGGATTGTGCCATGATGTGCCATGTACTTTGCATCCACTACATATTGTTGATGGGTGATGTCAGCATTGTCCAGCGGTGCTTTCGCCTGTTTAGTCTCTCAGGTAAACAGATCAAACTCATCATGGACATCACCAGTGGCTTGGCAGCATGGGACTTGGGACACCGAAACTTCGAGAGGGGACTGATGTAGGAACAACCCCGAAAACCACACTGGTCCTGACCAGACGCCTCAAAACGAGAGAGGTTGACTGTTTGTTGCCATGTCAACGCCGATCTGAGATCCCTTCAATCAGCGGTGGCCTTGGCAAAAAACAGGTTTACGGCAGCTTGTAGAGCTTCAATCTCTTGCGTTTGTGGCATTTTGTGGGGGAAATTGTTCGTAACCATTTCGACTCATCACAACTCGCTAACATTCGCCAACAGACTTCTTCATTCCGGATTCCTTTGAGAATTGTGTTTTTTGGCGAACTTGATTATCCCCAAGTCAGTCCATGTCAGATTTGCTCCCTGCACGGCGTGCCCATGGGCAAAGGAAGAACATGCAGCTTCAAAATGTTTATAATTAAGAATATTCAAGCTTTGTGATGGAATTTGCACTTGTGCCGTCAGAGGGGATCTTGCAACACAACCCACCTTGGAAAGGGGAGCCTGCAAAGAATAATAAGAACCAACCACGAACAGGATTCCTGGCGCAAATATGCACAAATCCCCATGCTGTGCAAGCCACCGTTCAGTATTTTGGCTGAGAACTTTGGAGCGTGAGGATTCCTTTCTTCATTTGGAACTTTGGTTTCTTGCAGACACCTCCACCGTCCAGTTGATTGAAGCTTTTTAACCCTGCTCCCTGGTGGGCTTTCCTGAAGATGTTTTGAAGACATCCTGGGTGACAGCCCGAGGCTATGAGCTTGGCAAAGTGTTGCCTGAGAAGATTGCCCAGGAGACATGGCCGGAGAAGATGGGTCCGGGGCGTCTCGTTTGTCTACCTATGAGGAGACAGCTGCATGACTGCATCTAAGGCAACATCCTTGTGAACATTCAACAACTTCTAAGTTGGATTTTCCATCACAGGGGCTTCCATGGGACCGGTGTTGAGGACGACCGGTCGTGGTGAAACACATCGACCGGTGCGTCCCATTTAGAGTGTATGCGCTTATAATGGTTACACTGACTCGGGCGCTGACGCTAGCTGACGCGTGGGCGGCGCAAGACTGGTAGGGAAGGAAGGTCCGGCAAGTTGGGACCCGCAGACGGGGGGAGACGGGGAAATGGACCATCAAAAGGAGCACATCAAACTACTTGACGAAACAACATGGACGGGGGACAATATTTTGGTTTCGCAACGCAGATCAACAGCAGAGCAGCTGCTGGAGAAAAAACACTGCATTCTGAAACTTTCATCTTAATATTACCCGTGAATCTGGGAAGGCCTTAATATTTCAATATACATAAGTTTGGCATGAAACATGGCAAAAATGCATCGGAACGAGCTGAGTCTTCATCGAGATGTCCTGGAAAAAAGTTCCATGCTCCATGGCGCCTCATTGCTACCTTCTGGGAGTGATGGTGCATCTTGAAAAGTTAAGTATTGATGGAACAGGCTGGTGTGGAGTTCAACAGCTACTGTAGAGTTTCAGCGGGACGGCGGCACCTCATAAACTCCAAGATGAAGGACGAGGCAGACGGTCTTTCATGGTATCCTGGCACAGACTTGCCAGGACTTTGCAAGTAGCATGTCGGCGCTGCCGGCGGAGTTGGCTGCACTGAAGGTGGGTGTGCCCAGTGATCAGGCTTTGAGAGGAGACTGTTCTTGAGAAATTTAATGCAAAGATTCCTAGAAGGGAGTTCAAAGATGTTGCTGACCATTCTCTTGCCAGTGACCTTGCTGGAACTTGGTGTTTCATCAGCGAGGGACATCTCATGAACTGTTCAAGTTAGGAGCTCCAAGTTGGTGGGTTTTTGGCCAAGGGCTCCTTCAAGAACCACCCATGTGAAATCATTTGAAGGATGTTGGAACTTCTGGATCAGCTCTGCTTAGTTGCATCCGTCCCATGATCCAGCCTGCCGCCAGGTGCAGAACATGTTCCTTGGCAATGATCATGCTTCCTGGATCCACTACCTTTTCAGAAGGTGATTGGAGACACTGTTAAACGTATGTTTGGAGGGCCGAGGTGCCTTCTGAGAAGGATGTGAATCCCTAGTAGGGATGTCAGAGTTGACCCCCTTAACTCGCCTCACCACACCTCACGAAGCAAAGTAACGCGGCTTGGAACGCACCCATCACCCCATGCGCATCCGTGCACATTGCACCGCTGAAATCCAAGTGGCTCGCGTTGTGGCAGTTTGGCAATGTTTTTCCACTTGCCCCATAGCGCAAGGCAGTCGAAGTGTGCAGCGAAGGTTCCTTTTGTACTCTTTTGTCATCCCTTTTCTACTGTTTTCTCTTTCCGGCTAAGGTATGATGATGTGCTGGCGACGCTTGGGCGCAAGAGAATGCGTTGAAGAGGGGCTTATGGCACTCAATAGGTTCCCCGAAAGAGGATTTCCACTATAGGAACACGTGCTGGATGAGTCAATGAGATTGTCATGTGCAAAGGAATTTGTTAACAAGCCCTGAGCTTCAAAGTAAAGGGCCCATTCCTTGGACGGAACAACCTGGACATGGCAAGCAGAAGAACCAACCGTTTTGCCGGTTCACGCACGTGCGCGCAAGGAAAGTGAAGGACTTTCTCGAAGCCAAGTGGCTTGAGAAGATCCCACAGCTGCTACGAGAAAAGCTGTCGGAGAGCAAGGTCGAGGCAGACTTGTCGGTTGCTTGGCTGCACAGACAATCCCACTTCCCATCATGTCCCTGATTAATTAAGCTAAAATGCAGATTCTCAGAAGGGGAGGGGTCCTAAAAAAGATCTTGCAGGGATGTTCTGCCCAGTTTCCATGTATGTGTTGACGGCTGAAGGTGGAACAATCCCTTTCCGAGAAAAGAGGCCTTAAAGAACACACGGACATGGAAAGCCTCATGACTCATGACATCATGGTGAGTCTTCCAGCAGCTTAGGTGTAGGACATGGTGTTCGTTCTTTTTGACATTGTAGTGATACCTGATGCCAAACGATACCAGTTGGGTGTCTTCCCTGTGCACTGGGGATTCTCAAATTACCAACTCAGTTGGCATTTCATTCCACACATGGACAAAGAGACTAAGAGGGAACCCCTCCCTCAAACGCCCCACCGCCGTTCGGCCCTCTCACTGAGATTCCACCGAAGCCCAAGCCCAACGCGACGACCGCGAAGACGGAACTGGCCCCGATGGAAGCCATCCTGCGGGCGACTGGACGAATTGGAGAAATTGGTGACGTGGTTCTGTCTTTGGTGGTGTGTTGTTGTTGTTGGTGGTGGTGGTGTATATCTTGGTGCGTGGTTCTTCCACGCGAACTTGTGATAGCCTCTATTAGGCAGACATTTTAAGATTTGATCTTATCAAGGCCTCAGTGTTTGATTACTTATAGTTGCAGCCTGGGGGACCTGAAAACGGTGAAAGGCAAAGCTGGGGCGAGCCAGTGTCTTTCACCGGTGCTCTCCGAGCCGATGGCTCGGGAAGCCTTCGCGAGCGAAATGGTCCTCTGGTCTGATCGATGGTGCCTGCCTTTTGCTCTCCACATCTTCCCATCTGTGCGGGGGTTCGTTGCTTTGCCTGCTTTGCCCGCGATTGCCCATCGCATGAAGATGGACTTCCCATCAGCTGCACGCGCTTGGCAGTGCGCTTGGCACAAGTTGTAGGGCACTTGCGGGTTTGGCCAGAGACAGAAGTTCTCAGGCTCAGTTTTGAGACTGACATCGACAGACCCACTTAGAGTGAATTTGGAGGCCCTTCAATGTATTCCGTAACGCCGTAACATGATGATAGTATAGCCGATTTTAACTGCCCCCTCTTTAAGCTTATATTAAGTTCATATATTTATGCATAGTTACCATTAGCAGTGGGCGAGGTGTGTGAAACGGCTGCGAAAGGTGATCATTTCCTATTGTATTGGGCGAGCTTACTCATCTGTGAGGGTTTGCGTTTGTCTTTTTTTGCCTTCAGGTCAGAAAAAGGGCATTGATTGAAGGAACTAGTCAGGTGGTTTTTGGCACCTGCTGGTCTGAGAATCGCAACCAGGGGATCATGTCAATGTGGCCACCTGTGGCAGCGCCTTCTTCTTGGCGACAAAGTGAGACCCTCGCAACTCACATACTATGACATAGATCCTCAAGAAACATCCAACCCCCCAGATTTCAGAGTGGTTCGGACGGCCTTTCGTTTTCAGACATGTTCTTCAGCGAGCTTTCGCCATGTTGCTTCCACAAGCGGCACGAAGGTGGAGTTGGAAAAGCGGCTGCCTTTGGCCCAAGCTGCAAAACCGGACGCCAACCCGGAGGAGGTTCAGAAAATGCCCCAGCCGGAGTATTTGGCGTTGATACAGCCCAGACTGCAGGAGAGATCCGCTGCCAAACACGGGCGATGAACACACATGGAAGGCAATGTTTGAAAAAAATACTCTCTCAATATTTCTTTGCCCCTTTTGTTTGGAGCCTGAAGCAGCCAAAGAGCAAAAAAACGAACAAACCGCGTAACAACATTAAGAAGCAAAAAGCCTATTCAAATGTATATCATGGCCCATGTATGTCTATACATTATATATATATATTTGACCAGAGTTTCTTTGACCTGTTTATTTTGAGCTCGTGTCATTGAGTCCAAAGGACTTGAGTCCTCCATGTTTCGCTTCCAAACGGAGCTCCAACCGATGGCCTCCCCCCATGCGACCGACCTCAGGAGCAAGCCGCGAGGGCCATCCGGGCCCCTTAGACCGCCATCAGCTAGGGGGTGAGAGAATCCTGCTTTTTTGGAATGCACACCCAGGAGAAGGGGTAGATAGGGTACTTCAAGCTGCGAAGGGTAGATAGGGTGTTTCAGGATTGGGATTGTGTGATGTGCACAAGGGTCAATGGACCGGGGAAGTTTATTGCACATAGCAATACTTCCACGACAGCCCCCGAGAAGTTTGCTTAGAGCACACAAAGCTCGTGTTTTTTTTCCTCCGTTAGGATCGTTAGGGGCATTGTATGTAGGCTTTCATCGTTGCCAAAGCTGGCTTTGTGCCCATAGTGCCCACTTTGGATCTTACGCGGGATATTTTTGCTAGCAAGATCTAAAGTTTTCGAGAGCAGGCCGGATTGCACCGCCCAGGACACGCTTGGGGATGCCCTTCCCTTCAAAATCACGGCTGAATGCTGCTGGGCGCAAAGCTCATCGGAGCACGCCAGCTGGGTGTGGGTGTGGTTCACACTAACCAGCTGGCTTTTTGGTGGTGAACATTCCTTGGATCGATTCTCAATTCTCGATGCTTCGGTTCGTGAAGCATCCACACGCTGTTGGTGCTCCAACATTTTAATCCGCAGCTCTATCCTCGTATGGCAGGAGAAAGGCGGATCAATAGTCAATAGTCTGCAGAGAGTTCTGCAGAGTCGACAGGTTTCTACAAGACCAAGAGGATCAAGAGGAGTTTTGCGGACATGTTCACAGGTCCTTTCTTCTTCGAGATGCACGTTTGGGAGATTTCCGCAGACTGGGTGGAATTAGAAAAGAGGGAATGCGTGGTGGAATGCATCACTTCTACGACCAGCGGCATCCACGTCTTCGCAGCTAGGAGCTAGGTCCTAGGTGCCCAAAGCTGACTTCTGACCCAATAGACAGCACCCCAAAGCCAATAAGATCCTCTTAAAGCATCCAGAAAACATGTCACCTCCGTGTCTTTTTGGGGGCACACCTCCAAGCCTGGCTGAGGTGATGCGGATTTCGGTGGACTCTCCAAGCATAGCTTTTGGTTGCGACTCAGCCTCTCCAACTTCGACGAGGTCAAAGCGCTGGAGAAGCTGCGTTCGCCCAGCGCAGGCCCAACTTCACCGGGACATCGGAACGTGAAAAAGTGGCCGAAGTGATATGAAGTGATGGGAGGCCTTGGGCTGGGAATGGGAGGTCCATTCTAAGTCATCCTCGCCTTTTGTCCATGGCTCACAATGCGCAAAGTTCATCAAGAGTTGTATTTGCAATCTGGATTTGATCAACAACTGCTCGATCTGGCGGCAGACCACGCTCAGAAGCTCCTTAGCTTGCTGGAGCAGCTGACCAAATGCTTCCCGGTCAGTGGAAAGCGGGGGCATAGTCTTCTTAGAGATGAGGGAAGCAGGGAGAGAAAGGGGTTGGTTGGCCTTTCAAGGACACCAATCGTTCGCTAGAAAACCAAGCTTCAAACCACTATATATTGTACAAAGCTACGCGCATACACATATTATGCCAACCCAACAACATGAAAAGGAGCAACAGTCAAACCATCGGATTTCCCTTGCCCAAAAGTGAATAGTGGCCTTTGACCGTCGCGCGCAGTCTGAGGTGGAGTGCTTGGTCTTGTGCCTCGGCGAATCCCGCGGCGAGTCGAAGCGGAATTCGTGTCGTGTCAGCTTTGGGCGCGTCGATGGTGGTACTGCGATTCCAAGGAAAAGCTCGTCAGGTCTAGCCATTCTGTGGTCTGAGAGTCATGTCGAAGAAGTCCAAAGCACCACCCGCGTACGGTGCAATTCCTCGATGCATCTGGTCACCAGGAGGCAGCTGTAGTCCCTTAAAGGGGCGTAAGGGGATGCTAGCGGGTTGATTGGGCGTCAATCCCGAACGCTCCATGTACGAAAAAAAGGACATGCAGTACATTACTATTCAATATTAAACGAATTACATAAATCATATACCACTCAAACCAGACAATGGGTAGGTCATGTTAGTCATAGTAACTGGTGTAAAAATCGCCGTGGGGCCTTTTCGGTTTGGAACATGGTCGCTGACCACGACCTGCTGAGGATGGCGCAGCGACCAACATCCGCACATTTCTCCGCTCTGGTGAGCTCAAAGACTGGCATGTAGGCAGTCCGAGTCCGGGAATCCCGCTTTGGTCCTGATGTTCTTGCTTTGACCCAGTCATTGATTCATGGCATCAAAGAAATGAAGAGAACACATCTCCACACATTGTTTGACGGCCTTTGAGAAGAATCCTGAAAGAATCTCCCCTGTCTCGGGACCTTCATTTGGAATCTCAGAGTCTGAACTCTCCTGCCCACCGCTGATGTTGACATTCGTGGATGTTAGCAATTATCTAAGCATAGAAAAAAAGTGAAGCGCAAAACGCACATCCAAAATCCAAGCCTAGACTTCGGACACTCCTCAATGTTCACATTGTTCACGAACTCCTTTTCACCGCCACCGCCCCTTCAGCGGTCCGCCTTTTTCCTCGCGTCCGCGTGAGGCCTCGTTCAGCGGATGGGGCAGCTGCTGGGGACTCCCATGCAGGAAGTGAACCGATCAAGCTACAACTGGTTGCAGAAAGAGGTGGAAAACCTCCGAGTGGCCGAACAACTGGTGAACCTGGAACACAGCAGTTGTACGCGATTGGGCCACGGCACCGATGGCCTATTTTGTACAGGGTGCCCCGTGGTAAATTATAGTTATATATATAATATTATATACATATATGTATTATATTGTCTAGTTTATAACATAGGCTGCACATTTGTCACATGTACCATATAATGTGTGTTTCCTTGTTCTTGTGGGTGAGTAAGCGGGGCGAGTTTGTATTGAGCGTGGTTCAGCGATCGGGTGTGGTAGCTCAAGTCCAATGTCAAAAAGTGACGCGTGTAACACACATGGGCCAACACGCTTATGGATCTGGTGCATCGGGGGGAGGCGAGGTTGAAAGCACATGTGGAGGATGTGCCAGAACACATGTGCGTCCCACACCCGCTCGAACTCACCTGTCGTGGTCGTGGCCTTTGGGGGCCTCGCAGGCTGCCTCTGGTGTGTGCTGCCGGAGCGAGAGAAGCGGGAAGTCCAAGCAAGATGAGGTGAGACACGGCGGGATCCGCTTTCCTCAAGACGCTGATTGGAGGTTCCTGCTGCGGGTCGGGGGTTTTTCAATTCCCCTGTCCACCGGTCGGGCTCGGTGCAGGCACTTGGGTGAACGCTGGTCTTCGCTGGCTCGGTCGACGCAGGTCTTCTGGATCGCTGCGGAGGTGACCGCAGGAGGTGAGCACACACACGATGGCGGTTGCCCAGCCCTACAGGCGCGCAGAGAGGGGGGAGGCCTGATGGTTTGAGACTGGCCGAGCTGAATGACAAGCAATCAAGACATGCAGTGTTGACGTGTTCTTATGATCATTCATGAATGACATTGAATGACCATGCCTTGTTCCGGTCCGTATACCTAACAGTTTTAGCAGACAGAGCCCCTGACCTATAGGCCGAGGGGAAGGGAGAACCGGGTCGGGACCAAAACGACGAGATTCAAGACGGTCATTTCCTCATGCGTGGATCAATCTCAATTCTCGGCAATTCTTAAGAACCATTATTGGCCAAGGATTGACCTATGCCTTGCGTCGCCTTGGCCGTCCCGTACCCGTGCCACACCATCCACGGCTTGTCCGGGTCGCCGACCCAATGCTCCACTCATGTCCACTCCACAAATAATTAGATCTCATGTCGGCTAGCTCCCCAACTCCGCTCCATCGACAGTCGACACGTCCCAACTCGGCGACCGGTGGAGAAGTCATCAGGTAGCGACCGGTCGTGTAGCGACCGGTTCCATCGCCCGAGCACCGGTGGGGACCTCGCACGCGCTACCGCGCCGGTGCGGTCGCAGGAGACGGTGAATCCACCATGCGTTGCCACGGCCAAGTCCGGCAAGAAGGTCGTGTTGCATCACAGGCCCTACACGGCACCTGGGATGTTGTGACATAGTAGATATAGTAATTAGAATTAGATAGTAATTAGCTGCCTTTGGTTTGGGGGGGATGGAACGATGGAGAGTGCGATGGGGGGGATAATCAATCGTACAGTCGTTTTAGACTATATGAGGGCAACCAATTGAGAAAGGCATCCATCGTTCTAGAGTAGGCACTTTCAATTCATTCGCATGCAGGTCACCAGCATCATGAGTGGGTTGGTTGTTCGATGTTGTTCTCTCCAAGCGGTGATTTTGGCGGAATCAGGGCACACGACTCCTTTGAGCCAACCTGGCTGGTGGTTTCTGGCGGTTCTCCGGATTGTCAAAATGATCGAACACCTGCACGGATTTTCACCATGGCTCCACAAGTTGGTGCGAAAGCCTCTTCCTAGGCCTGACGATTCACATACCTTCTCAGAAGGACTTGGACCCTCCAAGGCTACGTGACGTAGAAGTGTCTCCAATCACCCTCTCAGAGGGCATGTGGATCTTTAGAGTCATCGCGCAAAAGCCCGCGGCTGGATGACCGGACAGCATTGGTGAGCGGGACTGTCACTGTCTCACTAACGACCGGCGCCTGAGGAATGCTTTAACTTGCCCGACTTGAAAGACGGTAAGGCGCGGGGCCCCACTTTGGGGGTGGCCAGTGGGGCGCGGCGGTACTAGGTCTCTCAGTCGCGTGGCACGACGTGGCACGACGTGGCACGAGGTGGCACGCGTGGCACGCGTGGAACACACAGGTTGCACGCGGGGACGGGAAATTGGGCTACTGAGTGTCAAAACGGGGCCGTCGGTCGTTGGCTTGTTTCCAGCGGTTTGGTTTGGGGATTGCTGTGATCATTCTTGTCGCATGGATGCATGGGCCATCAGCCTGACCAAGTCACCCAGAATCGACTTCCGTCTCATGTTGTTGCATGAAGACATGTCGAAACCTACACCCTCACGACTCACACACACACACATATATATATATATAATATCCTACATTTGAGCCCACAACACGTACAAAAACGTATCAACATGCAATTTTTTGAGCATGAACGGGCCAGGCCCCAGAGCGGATTGCGCCTTTGGTGTCATCCAATTGCTGAGTGGGTCCATACAGTCCAGCACCAAGAAGAAACCAGTCTGAAAGCATCCAGCCGTACGTGCAGGTCGTGGGATGTAGCTAGAAGGTGTTGAGAAGGGATACCCTGTAACACCTGTTTTTGTCGAAGCCTGAGATCCAGGATATCCAGATGTGCTTGTTTCATTTGTTTTTGTTTTCTAGTTGGCTTTCTTATTGATTCTTTGTAGGTTAAAGCTGACTTGGTATTATGTTATATCATATTGTAGAATACTTAATCTCGGCATAATTTGCTCCTGAATTTTGCATCAAGCATTCTGGCTGGAGCAGCTTTCGCTGGGGCACTAAGGTTGTCGGACGCAGCAGCAAAGATCGAGAAAAAGAAAAAAGGTGCTCAAGAAACATCAACGGCTGTGTATGTCGCAGACCTGCCTCGCGATTCGCGCGAAGCAGCTTGCTCCTATCCCAGATGACTGATCGAACATGTGCTTTCTGCATCCCATCAGGCCTTCATTGCGGCCAATGGCATTCCTATCAGCCGTCCATCCCTCAGGGCACCCCATGGGGGGGAGAACCGTCAACGATTCGCTCAAACGAGCGAAATGGACCCTTCCAGCATCCAGGAGACTTGTGGGTTGTTCTTTCATGTTCCTTTTTGGGCTGCACAGAGCTCAGAACTCTTCGTAACATTTGGATGTATTTGGTGGAATAGTTCATGTGTCTCCACCCCTCGTCCTCATGGGACAACGGGAATTGAGGGCGTCGGACCCAATTTTTGGCGCAGCCATTGACTTAGTGAATGGGAATATAAGTCCCAGACACTCCACGTATGCCATATTTGCCTACATGAGGGTCATGTTATCGGTTTACTGTAAAGGATGTATGATTAATGTAGACCGACCTGGTCTAAACAACATTCTTTTTTCAAGCAGAATATGGAGATGTAAGACAATTCTGAGTAGTGTTTTTTGGGGGTATACAGTAAATATATAAACAGCCTACATACATTGGTCATTAGTAGTTAGTGGAGTGTTGGGTCCCTGTGTCGGAGGAGGGTAGGTTTGGCAGGCCAAACACCCAACCACCAAATTCCTCCAAAAAGCGGTTGTGGTGGTTGGGTGTTTTGGGGTAGTAAGTATGTACCAGGTAGAAGAACAACATGGAACTCTGAGGGCTGTGGTGCCTGCATGAGAAGGCGTGTCCAGTTGACTTGCGCCCAGGTACCCGGCGTTGGTTCTTCGGGATCAATGACACACAGGTGGGGAGAAACCGTCGGCGGATCGCACGGATCCGGCCGATGCTCAGTCGCATGAAGGCCAGGTGAGTCCCCGGCCCTTTCAACAAAGACCTCCACGTCATGGAAAGTCGCCCTTGATGACCGATGAACTTGACTGTTCCTGATGAACGAGCCCTCAAGACATTGCCTTGAAAACGAGGAGAGCACCATTGCCACAGCCTGCGCCTGTCTCAAGACAGAGTGGGGCCGACAACCTATCAAACCATATACACTCTGACTCACTAACATGGAAGTGGACAATGGTCACTTGGAAGACTACTTTGATCTACAAACACGTGGTTTTCCACTTCCATGTTAGTGGTCAGAGTGTATTCAAACTATAGCTGCTGTAGTTTTGTGCGTGCGCGGCACACCAACAAGTGGAACATGGCGAAACAAGGAGTGGCGCATGCGCCGTGCCGCCCTGGACCACAAACCAGTTCCCTGAGCATGTGCCCTATTAACGCTGAGCAAGCAGAGAAGAAACACCCTCCGCAAAAATGTTTCTTGGAGATCTTGAGATCTTCCAGTTGGTCCTTTTGGCTAATCTGGTGTTCTAAAGCGGTTTTTCCTTGGCAGGTCCTGTTTTGTGAATATGTTTATTTTTGCTGAAGTTGCTTTGCAGCGTGGTCCCCTTCGCTGGTTTCGCTCAATGAAAAGTAGTTGCTCTTTGCTGATCTTGGCTCCACCTGTAGTTCCTTCTTGCTGATCCTGCCTTCTAGCTGGGCAGCCAAGGCCATGTTTTTCAGCCGCTGCGTGAGTCTGGCACAAGTGATTTGCCAAACAGCATTGTGGTGATTGTGTGCCTTGTTGTATCTCCCAACAGGCCTGCTGTCATGAGTGGCCTACTGTCATGCAATGGAGAAACTTGGCAACCAAACATACGAAAGGGGTCCCGCACAGATAGGAACGATGTATTTCACTTCGACACTATGATTTCAAGACATTCACTTCTCCGGCGCCAATTTTGGGGGATCACCGATCAAGCTCGTGGTCAAATTGAAGCATTGGAGCAAACTCCGGCATATTGAATAAATCAACTATACAGTACATATATGTCATAATAAATGTTGCCGATTACAACCTATGTCAGTTGCTTCCGCCGTTAGGTTGGTCTCCCTGAGATCTGGGAATTCTTCGTGGATTGGATGAAGGCCGGACTCCCGGACTCGCGCCATCCATCGCCATCCGGCGAGTCCGGGCGAGATATCGGGCGGAGTGATGCAGCGGGCCGTTGGAGTGAAGCACCGCCTTTGTGGGCCAAGCCTGTTTGGGGTATTCTCAGGAAGTACGAATTCACCTCCAAACTCATCCGAAAAGGAGGTACCTGGACCTGAACTGGGCAGAATGTTCCTCTCAGATCACAGACAGGAACAATCCAGAGCTTTGTCACATCCTTGACTGGTGCGGCTTGGCCTCGTTTGCCCAGGTGAATGCACCGCGCCTCTTCTCCTTCGCGCTCCGCGTTTGAGGAGAAAAGTGCTCAGTATCTCCTACGTCAGTGTGGTTCGCTGAAGGTAATGGACGCCTTTGAGGACAGCAAACTCATAATTAGATCGCCGGAGATCTGTGAGCTGCTACTTACTTGGGCCTGCATGTTCCACATGTTTCTTGGACACATCATTACGTCAGCTGCTCACGACTTCGGCTGGCACTGATCTGAAAGCCTCATGACGCCCCTTTGACAAAAGATCTTGCGACATTTAAGAACCACTCACCACAGACACCTCACCCAGATCCGCGTTCTCGTTCTGAAGCCGTTGCACTGCTCCAAAGCCCCACTGCCAAACGTCCATGCTGTGGAGATGCGGCGGCCTCAATGCAGCACGCAGCACGCGGCCTGAGGAGAAGAAAAAGATATGAGACAGCCATAGACAGCCCCAAAAGCCCCGGGAGCCGCACGTTTTGACAGTTCTTTTACCATCTCAAATTATGGTTTTGCTGTATCCGAACTGGGCTTCTTCTGAGAACCTCCTGGGCATTGAGTCCAGGAATACACAGGGAAAGCACTGCGACTCGAGAAAGCATGGGAAAACTGCAGCTTGCAAACCTTGAATGGATGATCCACCTTGATCCGGCCCAGGACGTGGCTAAGGGGGGGTTCCCCATTTTCCATTCACGTCAGCCCCTTTCCAGAGCTTCAATCCGCCGAGATGCCTGGCGGAAGTGCGCTAATCGGGTAGGGCATTGCAGTGAGTCTAAATATAGAGATTGGAAGTGGAACTTCCAACGGTCGGACGCCATGTGCAGCCCGCGAAGCTGTCCCATGGATGAAGAGATCCTTGAGTTCCGCTTGACAGAGCGGGCCACCTTCTTGGAATTCCTGCCCGAAAGGCACGACTTGGCGAGGTGCATCAGTGCCCCCGAGCTGCTGGGCGGTGGTTTCTGCCGCGCTGACGAGAAAGCTTCAAGTAGCTTCTGGGCGTTGTTCAGAGTGTGTTTTGTTGACGCGCTCGTCGGGTGAAGGCCCAGGACCCACTCCTCGAGCTCCCCATCCCTACAAGTCCAGCTTGACCCAGTGAAACCTGGTCTCCTACCGCTTACCTCCTTAAGTATCGGTTTTGTATGACCATCTCCAGTAAAATGAGGTCTTTGACATGTAGGGCATAGTAATTATGCCAGCCTGGCCTTAAGGGTTGGAGGATCGGGGGTTCCATCGCTCCAGGTTTGAAGGATACCATGGACGCGACTGGTTGCTTCGAGCGTTTAACTACCTGCAGCACTGCAGTGGATGCACGCGAAGCCCTCCACGGCGACAATGATGTTTCGGGCGAGGTGGAAGCGATGCCAGATTCTCCCAGTTTCTCGTCCAAAGCGAACGGACAAGAACCCCATGATTTCTGCAAGGGCCTGAGTCTACAAGTCTAAGTCCGCTCTTTGAGTTTGAGAATTTCAGAGGGAAGACAGGGTCATGAATCCTGTGGCTGCGAGTGATTCCAGTAGACTGCAGCTTGACATTCATTTGCATCTTGTCATGCTGCCGACCGACTTTTCAACTTTAAACAAGTACCTGTTACATGTTTATATATAGTACTAAGATGTTCAAGCCACATGTTTGTGACAACATCCCCCCGAACTTCGTGTCCGAAACTCTCGGACACTCGGGATTGAACTGGTTCACTTGGACGGCTAGTAATTGCATGTACCCAGACGCTCCAAACAGCCCTTGGTCTCTTAAAACCTAGGGATTTGAGACCCCTGACCCCTCCATATGAGGGTCCGACCCCTCCATATGAGGGCCCATGAGCGTCTGGGTACTGTAATGACTGCTACTTATATAGAGAACGTGGGAAGGTGGGAGATGCCACCATGCGGTCCGGACGGCTGCGACGTCTATTCCAGGTGCTTCCGACCTGTGCGACGTCTATTCCATGCAATCGTCCCAGGGTTCGGCACTCCATTCACAGGGCCTTTGCAAGCCTTGCACTTGGTTTTGGCGGCCAGGGAGCTGCATCTCAGACCAAGAGTTCTGAACGCTGTCAGATTCAGTGCGGGCCCAGAGTGGTGGCTAATTAGCGGACTCACAATAAGATGGCCTCGTCCTGTTTTGTTCAAAGGATTTGTTAGATATGATATGTTACATAGATTATTATACATTGTTTAGCCCATCAAGAATGGCCAGGTGCTGACATGTGCATCCAAATGTGTGGTTTTTGGGTGCTCATCAGGTACCCGCGGAATGGATTGCAACCATTGCCACTTGTGCCCCCCCGGCTCCTTGAGGGAAATGACGCGGCAGCATCGCAAACTCGGCGCGAAAGGATCACAGGCACGCCAGAAACGTGGGACTACCAGCGCAGGCTAGATCC